GGGGTATAATGCCATAGAGTCCACCTTTCAAAGCAGCCATTTTCTCCAGAGGAACCTATCTCTGTGGTCTGGGGACCAATTGTAATTCCAGGAGATTTCCAGGCTCCAACTGGAGGCTGGCAACCTTACCCTAGGAACTGGGTGGTAGTGGTTAGCAGGATATGAAAGGAATTGTGGGGTATAATGCCATAGAGTCCACCTTTCAAAGCAGCCATTTTCTCCAGAGGAACCTATCTCTGTGGTCTGGGGACCAATTGTAATTCCAGGAGATTTCCAGGCTCCAACTGGAGGCTGGCAACCTTACCCTAGGAACTGGGTGGTAGTGGTTAGCAGGATATGAAAGGAATAGGAAAGGAACTGGGAAATTACATCAATTCCAACCCTACAAAGAGTTATGGACTTCAGTTGGCAATGAATGAAGTGGGCAAATGAGAATTCTGCAACTCACTCTCCACCTTGTGTCTGCAGTTATGTGGGGGTCTTGGTCTGACCATGTCCGTGGTTGGTGGGAAGCCAAGGACCAGCATCCAATTCTGTACCTCTTTTATGAAGATATAAAGGAGGTGAGAAAGTCTTTCTCCTTCTCTGGGTATCTCTTTCTCACGCACACGCACACACAATTTTTTAAGTAGTAATTTTACCTGCAAAGGAGCTCTGATGCTAGAAATACTCTCAGAAATTACTTTGCTATGTTGGGTTCTCACAGCAGTGCCTCCGCTGAGCAAGAAACAACCGCTTAACAGCAGCCTAAATTTCCCTCAGCAGTCTTGTCTCTCCCTAGGACCCAGCCCGGGAAATCCGCAAAGTAGCCCAATTCCTTGGTATAGAGCTCACAGAACCAGTTCTGAAACAGATTGTGCAGCACACAACATTTGAGAACATGAAAGCCAATCCGATGGCTAATTACAGCAGTATCCCTTCTTGCATTATGGACCACGCTGTGTCGCCTTTCATGAGAAAAGGTGAGTGTCACACGGGTTGGCTTCTGGCCTCAGTTCTGAGAGGGGAAGAAAGTCCTTTGTGGGAATGGCTGGATTTGTCAAGTGGCGTAATTCTTTTGGCAGTGGTCCTGAAAAGTAAGCTGTAAGCTGTAGAAACGTAAACAGTAATTTTGGACTCAGAATGCTGTCAAGGGAGGTGGGGGGATGGTGCCTCATTCCTAAACAGAGAAGTAGCAAGAGTCACGCTTGCGGGAAGGCCCTGGTGACACTTGACCTAAAAAATGGCTCTGGCGTTAACAGGCACATAGTTCTGAGTGGAGATGGACAAGTAAAGGCAAACTGGGAAGTACTTTTCCTTAACAGCTCCCACACCATACATCTTTAAAGAAGGGGCAAAGGTGTGAGGAAATGGGGTGAAGGAATTGCTAAGGACTGGAGTGGTGGGCTGGGCATCAGGCTACAACGCCAAAGATCAACAAAAGCCCATAAGTCTACTAGATCTCATACATCTGCCAGAGAGGTTCCCTACTTGTGGTTTGTGCTCCCAGCAAGATGCTGGTCCAGGAGTAAAGTATCCATACCCAGGAAATCTGTAGTTGGATGTTCTAACATTTTCTTTGAGATGAAAAAGCTGTGACCAGGAAAGAAGAAAATTGGGCTTCAGTGACACAGGGAAGGGATTTCTCCAGAGAACTTTGTATTTCCCCACCTATTGCCTTTCCCCCCACACCTGGGGGGGGAATGTTTATGAACTCAAAAGTACAGGGATTAAATCCCCCTCCCACAGCGCCATCCATATCCACTTCTCATACCTGTGTTGTTGTTTTTTAATTCATGAAAATACAGTCTCATTTATTTGGATGAATTTCAGTTTCTGTCGTTTGAAGACATGGGCTAGTTACTTGAAGGGATGCAGCCATTCATTTCCGTTTTTGACACTTGCTCCTCATGGCTCAAAGTACAGGGCCGAGAGGGGTTATATGGCTGAATCCTGAGGGTGGTGATAAACTCTCTGAGGAGGGATGGCGTTCAGATTTTAATCCCTGTTGCAGGTGTCTCTCTTTTGGGCAAGGTGTTCACTTGAGTGGTGGCCAAGCAAGTCCAAGCTTTCTTGGATAAGGTGGATTGCCCGAACACTTCCCAATCTGTTACTATCCTGATTTGGGGCCAGAAATGCCCTTAAATTGTCCTCACTTGCAACCTTTACCAAGATAGGGACAGACAGGGTGAATATCTGTTGGTTCTCCTAGACTACTGAACAACTTTTGATATCCTCAGCCAGGGTATCCTTCTGGATCAGCTGGCAGAGGGGACTATCAGGGGTGCCATGGTGTAGTGTTTTTGTTCATACCTGACCGACCAGTTCCAGAGAATGTCTCCAGCAGTGTTCCCTCTAAGCTGAGTTAGTGTGAGCCAGCTCACAGTTTTTTAGCCTCCGGCTCACATGTTTTTGTCTTAGCTCAGGAAGGATGGCTCCAGAGCAAACTAATGTATGCAGTAGCTCGCTCACCACTTTAATTTTGGCTCACAAGACTCCACAGCTTAGAGGGAGCATTGGTCTCCAGCCTTCAACCGCCCTTCTGCCCCAGCATACTGGCCTCCTCCCCTTGGCCCATGCTCTTGGCCAACCACCTGGATCAGGCCAGGAAGTGCTAGGTCACACTTAGCTCACCCGATTGGCCTTCTGGATTTGTCAGAGTTGCCAGCTTTAGGTCCTGCTGCGCCTGGAAACTCAGGTCTCTCTGGGGAAGGCATAGATGCCAGACCCACATTCTGTTGGGGTACCTTGTCACAGGTTCCACAAGAAGGTAAGGCCTTTCCCGTTGTGACACCAAAATGTTGGAGCTCCCTTCCAAAAGGCATTTGATTAGCTCCATATTAGCTTTCACAAATCATTGTACCAGGCAAAAATGTTTTGGTTCTCTCATGCATTTGGTTAATCTTCCCCAGTGAT